GAATCCGTTCAGCACGAGCAGGATAATTGACCACTCGTACGCCTACGTCCGGCAGAAGGTCAGATCCTGTTGCGTTGTAACTCCTTTTTTAAGGTGCTATGCATTGCGCTTGAATTTATTAACTTCAGCCTCGCAAATTATAACTAGAAAGTTTTACGAGCTGCATACAAGACTTTAGACTGATGGAACGAATTGATGACTTTAATTTAAAATAAAGTCATATGTAATGCTTGAGGATATAATAGTTATAACGGAAGGGATTTTTATTATTCAATAAGACACACAAAATTACATCGACAGTTATTTTTGCTCCTATATACATATATATGACATCCGCATTTTAGATAGAAAATTATTATTTAAAGGAACATAAAAGGCTGAGCAAAGTATATTATTATCCTTGTAATGTTACGTAACTGAGAAACGTGATGAATGACATACATCTGCGTGCAAAAGTTCGATCCTATCGTAGGCACGGCTTTGTTTCGGGAATGGATCGGTCGATCCGATCGGTCCAATCGACTCGAGGTAGACTTGATGTGTGTGAGAGGTGTGCCCGATCCGGCTGACAAGTATACATCGACACACTTAAGGAAATGCTCGAGATACTACCTAAACGATCTTCGCGAGATGAGATCTGATTGCTCATACCGAGAGAGGGAATTTTAAGGATGTCACTCTCGAGCTACCTCGTTGCGTTGCACGGAACGAATCGATCATTAAATGTCGTGCTCGAGAATCCGCGATGAATATATGTGAGACTGGTTGAAGAGAGCGCCGAAAATAAAATAACTGTTTGTAATAAACAAGCGGAGACATACACGGCTCACGCATTCGGCCAAATTTTCCAATTTTTTTTTCTTTTTTTATTATACGTTCGACCAATTAGGGAAGTTATTGGTGCCGCCGGGGTACTGTTCGTGACATCGGAAATTAGTATGTTGAACTCTTGCAATTGGCAATTTTCTGCCCTCTTATAGTCCCGTGGCATGCAAAATGCGAGAGCGCGGCCGATATACATGCACGCGGTGAATAAAGTATATACATGCACGCGGGCGATGAAAATTTTATTCAGAGGACGGATCTCGTTGAGGAGCTCGCTTACGTGGAGTCGCAGTTCCTTTTGCCGTTCGAGGAAACAAGCGTGCCGTATACCAACCAAGAGCCGGAGCCCTTGAGCGAATTCCATTAATTATATACCATTACGTCGTAATTGTACGCCATATGTTTTCGATTTTAA